TTGAAATCTTGATAGAAACCTCCAGGACTTCCTAACTCCAGCATGCTGCATTCTTGCAGAATTAGCATCATGTGGATGATACAAAGGTTGGCTGCCAGCTTGAGCTTTGGACCATTGGACCATGGATGCAATGACATGTGAGTGCTTCCGTGATTAAGCACAATGAAATGAATTTTGGGAAAACAACTTTTGGGGCACCCACGTGAATGTGGTGTCCTCATGGTCCTTTTATTGTTGTTGTTATTTTGTTACCAGGATCGAACCCAGTGGTGCTTAATCATGGAACCACATCCCTAGCCCCCCCCCCCTTTTTTTTGATAAAGGATCTCACAGAGTTGCTTAGGGCCTTGCTAAGGTGCTGAGGCTGGCTTTGAACTCATGATCCTCCTGTCTCAGCCTCCCAAGATGCTGGGATTATATGTACTTATTTTTTTTCACTAAAATGCAAGTTTAAAAAATCATCAGACTCTTCTTTCTGCCTCTGATTCTCCCTGAAAACCTGGATTAAAAGATGCCTGCAAATTCCATGCCACTGCCTAAATGCTGTGCTGCCTTGAAAATCTTCCACAAGATTAATTAGCCCATCACATTTATTCACTTATTTGGTACCAGGAATTGAACTCAGAGTTGCTTTACATCCCCAGGGAGATACATCCCAGCACTTTATTTTTATTTTTTATTTACTTATTTTTTAAAATATAGTTGTAGTTGGACACAATACCTTTATTCTATTTATTTATTTATTTATTTAGTGTGGTGGATTGAATCCAGGGCCTTGCACATGCTAGGCAAGCATTCTACTGCTAAGCCAGAACCTCAGCCCCTTATTATTATTATTTTTTTTTTGAGACAGGTTCTAGCTAACCTGCTGAGCCCTGAACTTGCTATCCTCTTGCTTCAGCCTCCCGAGTCACTGGGTTTACAGGTGTGCACCACCATACCCAGAGGTCCATCACCTTTAAACTCGGCCTCACACAAATTCTCAGGACATGTACAAAAATGTAAACAAATTCTTCGCCAGAATGTAACATGAATGGCCTCTAGTCCAGTTTCCAATAGAGTCCCCATTCCCTTCTGAAACCTCATGAGCACAGAATTTATTGTCTGCATTCCTCTCAGCATTCTGGTGTTCTGAAGCTCCCTCCACAATTACCCATTAAGGTRTGCTTATCTAATTCTAAGACTTCTSTAGCTTTAATCTCTAAACCTTTACAAATTCYTCCSACAAACCAGCTCCAAAKGACCCTGAACCACATAGTCCAGATTAGTCACAAAAAGTACCCCACTTCTAGTACCAATTTTCTGTGTTCATTTTTTGTCTCTGTGACTAAAACGCCCTGACAATTACAAGTTAGAGAAGTTTATTTGGTTCATGGTTTCAGAAGTTCAGTCCCTGGTAGGTCAACTCCATTGCTCTGGGCCCAAGATGAGGTAGAATATGTTAGAAAAGCCTTGGTGAATAAAGGAGTACTGCTTAGTTGATGCCAATTGCTTATACAAGGGTTTTTTTTCAGTCATTTTTCATACTAAAATAAATTCCTTCCTTCTGTTCATCCAAAGCCATAACATTTTCAAATAATATAAACAAACTACAAATTTTAAATGTAGAATAAATAGTTAAAAATCATTTTAAAAAGCACTACTATAGGAAATCTCTCACTATGATAAAACAAATCAATTAAAAAAAATTAGGGCCTGATGAAATAAAGAATCTAGTGAAAAAATCAGTACACTGCAACCCTAGGGTATAATCATACTCTCTCTAATTTTCACACACTGTTGAATGTGTGCAGAACCTATAAATATGATAGGATCATCACAGGCAAATAATCATAGGAGTCTCTTGGTTTTCATTTTCTGTTGCACATAATAAATTACTACAATCTTAGTGGCTTAACACAACCCATTTATTATTTCACAGTTCTACATGTCAAAAGTCCAGGTAACTCAGACAGGCCCACATTCTGAAGGTCTCACACAGTGAAAATCTAGGTGTCAGCTGGAGCAGTGGTATCATCTGAAGATGCAGTACTCTTCTAAATTCTTTCAGGTTGTGGCAGAATTCAGTTCCATGTGGTTGCACAACTGAGTTCCCATTTGTTTCCTGCTGACTAATAGCTCTCATGTGCTAGAGGCACATGTTTTAGTTTTGGAAATGTTGCCCTCTCATAACATGGTACTTAGTTCTTCAAGAGCCATAGGAGAATCTCTCTTACTTCCTGAAGGGTTTACTTGACTTGTTTAGACCTATTTCAAACAGTACCCCTTTTAATACTTATAGTTAGCTCACTAGGGGCCTTAATTGCATCTGCAAAATCCCTTCAACTTTGCCATGTAATATGATCTAATAACAGCCACATCATCAGGGCAGCATCATCAGGGAATATTTAATTTGTGGTGAATGACTGTTGAAAATAGTATAAAATGAACATGAGCCTATAAACAGTTGAGTGTAATAAAATTTTATAATCACATCTGTAAACTTTAAATATTATTACCTCAATATTTACACAGTGCTTGTACATATTCTGCATCAGTTGATTTTCACGACTTCCTACCAGGGAGGCAGGAGATATCAGTCCATGTTATAGATGGGAAAAAAAAGTTTCTAATCATGTTTAGTGGTGTTCAAAGGAGATGTTTCAGGGGTTATTATGTGTACTGAAGTTAATACTAAGTGGGCAGGGCTAAGTGTTGATATGGTGACTGTACTTTTATTTGTTCTATATGTTGGAGGTTCAATGTATGCTTTAATAACCATTGCATCATGATGTCTTGTTAAAGATAAAGAAGAGAATTTAGAAAAAAATAGTTTAAAAATTGTTATATATATATATAGGGTCCTTTCCTTTACAGTTTTAAGAAGTTGTCATCTCTTGCAGCAGCTGTTGGACCTTTTAAAAAGAAAGAAAAAATGAAAAACTACATTACACAGCTGGTTTGAAATGTACATTTAGGAAAAAATGACAAACCTCATCCCCTTCATTCCCTTTACTTTTTATATGAGTGCAAAAAATTGGTACCTTCTTAATGTCTGGTCTCTTATTTTTCTTTTCATGAAGACATTGACTAGCAATAGAGTACATAGCTTCAACTGAAGTGGAATCAACATCATTCATCTTTACATCAATATAATCTTCAATTGTCTTTTCTTCATCTTCAATTTCTTCTTTAATATCTAGCTTAAAAATGAGTGTTAAAATTCTGTTAGCTTCAAATACAAGAGAAAGAAATTAAATATCAATTTTAATTATTTAAATTAACCTATGCTTTTACTATCCTTTCACTGTCTTTTTTTTATAGCACTTTTAAGAAGGGAAGATACTGGGCTGGGGTTGTAGCTCAGTGGTGGAGTGCTTGCCTTGCAAGCTTGAGGCACTGGGTTCAATCCTCACTACCACAAAAATAAATAAATAAACAAACAAACAAATAAATAAATTTATAAATTTAAAAAAGAATGGAAGATACACAGAACAAACATTAAATATTAAACCCCCTAAATACTTTAACCTCTTGCCTTCTAATTTTTGCATTTACATGTGAGCTAATTGCTTATGTGTTCCCATTAGTAGCAGTTAATAGGCAGGCAGGGCAGAGTTATCTGCCTCATGATGTGCTTCTGCTAATGCAATTCCAACTCCTAGACACATACACCCCTCCCTGCATTTGAAAAACTTCTCTATAGGTACTTAGATTGTTTCATCAAAGAGAAAGAAAGGAGGGGGCATAAGGGAGAAGCCAGGATGAAAGAATAATGAATGAGGATAGAAGTCTAGGACCATGGTGGTACAGTGGTAGCTCCCAAAACATGTCTATGTCCTAATTCCTGGAACCTGTGAATGTGACCTTATCTGGAAAAACTACATCTTTGTAGACATAATTAAATACCTTTTTTTAAGAGAGAGGAGAGAGAGAGAGAGAGAGAGAGAGAGAGAGAGAGAGAGAGAGAGAGAGAGAGAATTTTTTTATATTCATTTTNATCCTCTTGCTTCAGCCTCCCGAGTCACTGGGTTTACAGGTGTGCACCACCATACCCAGAGGTCCATCACCTTTAAACTCGGCCTCACACAAATTCTCAGGACATGTACAAAAATGTAAACAAATTCTTCGCCAGAATGTAACATGAATGGCCTCTAGTCCAGTTTCCAATAGAGTCCCCATTCCCTTCTGAAACCTCATGAGCACAGAATTTATTGTCTGCATTCCTCTCAGCATTCTGGTGTTCTGAAGCTCCCTCCACAATTACCCATTAAGGTRTGCTTATCTAATTCTAAGACTTCTSTAGCTTTAATCTCTAAACCTTTACAAATTCCTCCCACAAACCAGCTCCAAAGGACCCTGAACCACATAGTCCAGATTAGTCACAAAAGTACCCCACTTCTAGTACCAATTTTCTGTGTTCATTTTTTGTCTCTGTGATTAAAACACCCTGACAATTACAAGTTAGAGAAGTTTATTTGGTTCATGGTTTCAGAAGTTCAGTCCCTGGTAGGTCAACTCCATTGCTCTGGGCCCAAGATGAGGTAGAATATGTTAGAAAAGCCTTGGTGAATAAAGGAGTACTGCTTAGTTGATGCCAATTGCTTATACAAGGGTTTTTTTTCAGTCATTTTTCATACTAAAATAAATTCCTTCCTTCTGTTCATCCAAAGCCATAACATTTTCAAATAATATAAACAAACTACAAATTTTAAATGTAGAATAAATAGTTAAAAATCATTTTAAAAAGCACTACTATAGGAAATCTCTCACTATGATAAAACAAATCAATTAAAAAAAATTAGGGCCTGATGAAATAAAGAATCTAGTGAAAAAATCAGTACACTGCAACCCTAGGGTATAATCATACTCTCTCTAATTTTCACACACTGTTGAATGTGTGCAGAACCTATAAATATGATAGGATCATCACAGGCAAATAATCATAGGAGTCTCTTGGTTTTCATTTTCTGTTGCACATAATAAATTACTACAATCTTAGTGGCTTAACACAACCCATTTATTATTTCACAGTTCTACATGTCAAAAGTCCAGGTAACTCAGACAGGCCCACATTCTGAAGGTCTCACACAGTGAAAATCTAGGTGTCAGCTGGAGCAGTGGTATCATCTGAAGATGCAGTACTCTTCTAAATTCTTTCAGGTTGTGGCAGAATTCAGTTCCATGTGGTTGCACAACTGAGTTCCCATTTGTTTCCTGCTGACTAATAGCTCTCATGTGCTAGAGGCACATGTTTTAGTTTTGGAAATGTTGCCCTCTCATAACATGGTACTTAGTTCTTCAAGAGCCATAGGAGAATCTCTCTTACTTCCTGAAGGGTTTACTTGACTTGTTTAGACCTATTTCAAACAGTACCCCTTTTAATACTTATAGTTAGCTCACTAGGGGCCTTAATTGCATCTGCAAAATCCCTTCAACTTTGCCATGTAATATGATCTAATAACAGCCACATCATCAGGGCAGCATCATCAGGGAATATTTAATTTGTGGTGAATGACTGTTGAAAATAGTATAAAATGAACATGAGCCTATAAACAGTTGAGTGTAATAAAATTTTATAATCACATCTGTAAACTTTAAATATTATTACCTCAATATTTACACAGTGCTTGTACATATTCTGCATCAGTTGATTTTCACGACTTCCTACCAGGGAGGCAGGAGATATCAGTCCATGTTATAGATGGGAAAAAAAAGTTTCTAATCATGTTTAGTGGTGTTCAAAGGAGATGTTTCAGGGGTTATTATGTGTACTGAAGTTAATACTAAGTGGGCAGGGCTAAGTGTTGATATGGTGACTGTACTTTTATTTGTTCTATATGTTGGAGGTTCAATGTATGCTTTAATAACCATTGCATCATGATGTCTTGTTAAAGATAAAGAAGAGAATTTAGAAAAAAATAGTTTAAAAATTGTTATATATATATATAGGGTCCTTTCCTTTACAGTTTTAAGAAGTTGTCATCTCTTGCAGCAGCTGTTGGACCTTTTAAAAAGAAAGAAAAAATGAAAAACTACATTACACAGCTGGTTTGAAATGTACATTTAGGAAAAAATGACAAACCTCATCCCCTTCATTCCCTTTACTTTTTATATGAGTGCAAAAAATTGGTACCTTCTTAATGTCTGGTCTCTTATTTTTCTTTTCATGAAGACATTGACTAGCAATAGAGTACATAGCTTCAACTGAAGTGGAATCAACATCATTCATCTTTACATCAATATAATCTTCAATTGTCTTTTCTTCATCTTCAATTTCTTCTTTAATATCTAGCTTAAAAATGAGTGTTAAAATTCTGTTAGCTTCAAATACAAGAGAAAGAAATTAAATATCAATTTTAATTATTTAAATTAACCTATGCTTTTACTATCCTTTCACTGTCTTTTTTTTATAGCACTTTTAAGAAGGGAAGATACTGGGCTGGGGTTGTAGCTCAGTGGTGGAGTGCTTGCCTTGCAAGCTTGAGGCACTGGGTTCAATCCTCACTACCACAAAAATAAATAAATAAACAAACAAACAAATAAATAAATTTATAAATTTAAAAAAGAATGGAAGATACACAGAACAAACATTAAATATTAAACCCCCTAAATACTTTAACCTCTTGCCTTCTAATTTTTGCATTTACATGTGAGCTAATTGCTTATGTGTTCCCATTAGTAGCAGTTAATAGGCAGGCAGGGCAGAGTTATCTGCCTCATGATGTGCTTCTGCTAATGCAATTCCAACTCCTAGACACATACACCCCTCCCTGCATTTGAAAAACTTCTCTATAGGTACTTAGATTGTTTCATCAAAGAGAAAGAAAGGAGGGGGCATAAGGGAGAAGCCAGGATGAAAGAATAATGAATGAGGATAGAAGTCTAGGACCATGGTGGTACAGTGGTAGCTCCCAAAACATGTCTATGTCCTAATTCCTGGAACCTGTGAATGTGACCTTATCTGGAAAAACTACATCTTTGTAGACATAATTAAATACCTTTTTTTAAGAGAGAGGAGAGAGAGAGAGAGAATTTTTTAATATTTATTTTTCAGTTTTCGGTGGACACAACAGCGCATGCCAGGCAAGCGTGTTACCGCTTGAGCTACATCCCTAGCTCATAATTAAATATCTTAAGAGGAGGTCATGCTGGATTTTCCAGGTGGCCACTAAATACAATGACAAGTGTCTGTATATGAACAAAAAGAGGAAAAAAGATATATAGAAGACAATGTGATTACAGAGACAGAGACTGGAGTGGTAGAGACATAAGTCAAGGAATGCCTTCAGAAGGCAGAAGAGGAGCCTCAACAATGGTAAGGCACTAAGCAACTCAGTGAGTCCCTGTCTYGAAATCAAATACAAAATAGGGCTGGGGATGTGGCTCAATGATTGAATGTCCCTGAGTTCAATCCCCAGTAACCCCCCTCCCCAAGAAAAAGAAGGTGGAAGAGGAAGAAAGGATTCTCCCCTGGACTCTCCAGAGGGAGCACAGCCTTGCTAACACCTTGATTTCAGACACTTGGCRTCCAAAAGTGTGACAGAATAAATTTCTGTCACTTTAAGTCTTCTACTTTATGGTATGTTTTACAGCAGCTCAAGAAAACTAGTACAGATGTAAAAGATTACTTATAAGAAATAGAATGTAAAGATAAGAAAAWTTTCTCTAGTGACATAAGGGCTTATTAAAGCATCACACTCTGGGCTGGGGATGTGGCTCAAGCGGTAGCGCGCTAGCCTGGCATGCCTGYGGCCCGGGTTCGATCCTCAGCACCACGTACAAACAAAGATGTTGTGTCCGCCGAAAACTAAAAAATAAATATTAAAATTCTCAAAAATAAAACAAACAAAGCATCACACTCTTAGCTATATGTGCATTAAAATCTTATTATTTTATATTGATACCATATTCAAGCCTTAAGAATGGGTGAAAAAGTATAATCTTCCCTTAAGTTTTATGATATTCACTATTAAATGATGAAGTATAAAACTTGTGACTAAGAGAGATTCTGTACTTTTCTGTATTACATCCTCACTTAATTTGAAGTTTTGAGGCTCTTATACATTCTGAAGAGGAAAAAGATTTAGGTAATAGGATAGAAAAAGTAGGCCTTTAGACAGATAAGCCTTGCCTAAAAAGTTTAAGCTGCAAGTTAGTAAAACACTGAGTTCCATCTTTTGCCCTCTGTACCTCTTTTCTCTGCCCTCCTCTATTTTTAATCTATATATTTTATATAATTCAATTCACACCCAAAGCTTTATCTATGACTTAATTAATGACTCAAAAATAGCATCTCCAATCCAGGATTTTCCATCAACTTCCAATAACCAATTAAACAGATAATTTTATTTCTCTGATTAAGACAAAATTTTACTTTTTAATGTGCCACTTAAAATTTTAAATATTACTAAAACAATAACTTTAACATTGTATCTATAAATATACTGATATGAAATATTATATTGCATGTATTACTGCATGATTGCATTACCAATATACCATGGAGAGCTTTATGAYGTACATTTTTATAATGGAAAAAATATTATAACATACAGATACTTTACTTATGGTTTCCACAAAAAGGTATGGCACCAGATCCTTGAGCAAATAAATCAATCCCTTTGATTTTCTAATTCCAATTCTAGYTACATAATCTGGTATATGAATATTTCTGATATGATTGTACCGGTTTGTCCCATTTGGATACATAAATTCCAATGAAATCAGTATGGTTATTTATCCAAGTTTAAGAAAAACTTATATATGATATTTCCATCACTCTTTAATTTCATACAAATTTCAAAATTCTTAAAACTTGTGACATAGAAAAAAAAGAAGGGCATAATTTTCCTCTAGTTTTATTTATCATTCAGCTAACTTACTTATAAATTGTCAATGAAATGTCTAATATATAAAATTAGATAATGTTTTCTAAAACTTTATAAATATAATATAAATAGAGAACGTTTACAAGCAATCCTATTCTGATACAAATTTAAATGTAGTCATTTCTTTCTGAGCTAGAAAACTGTTAGTAACCATCCTGGRAAGTAAGGAATTAAGGTAAACTGGAGAAGATCTCAGAAATCATTTAGTTATATTCTAATTTCACTCACAAAGAATGTATAAGTGACCGTTCTAGGCTTCACAAATATTTCATGGCAGAGTTGAGATTAGAAATATTTAATGCTCTTTCCATATATCATTATGTATTGCCAGTAGAAATACTTGTAAAATAAAATTCCATTTCTAGATGTCAAATTTACCCATACATAGTAAATATTTAGACAATAAATGCAAAGAGAAAAGAACTAGAAAAAAATTGAATCTTTCAGTTACTAATAACTGAGGTTCACGGTGTTCATCCACAGCTGGAAGTCCAGTGATTATTTCTAGTAAAACCTATGAAGAAAAAAATCCATTAATATAACACTTAGGATAACATAAAAACTAGAAGGAATATGAATCTTGATTATGAGATCTGGTTAATATTTTCTGTACAAAATGTATAACTTTTGGTATTAAAGCAGAAAGAACACAAACCATGGGCATTTCTCATCACCTTCCTTCATGGGCACCTAGGATCCCACCATGCCCCCATAAGCAATTCTTTCCTATTATCAACTTGTAAAAGAATCAGTCCAATCAACATGTGTTCTGGGAATTCCTAATCCTTCTCCAGTCTTTCAGGGTATTCTTCACAAGAATAAAGAAAATTAAATTTGATTATCTAATCCCAATTCTCTGGCTCTTAGAAGAATCTTATGTTCTAAACACTAGACATATTCTACAATCCCATGCCTTAATGGTACAGTGCAATGAAGTCAACTTTCCATATGTGAAATATATTTGAAAAAGATTAGATGAAGAAAAAGCCCTTAATATCTCCAACACTCACACTCTGTTCCTTACCCAATCTTAGTAACTATTAAGAACAGACTAGTAGATCAGAAAATGCCAAGAAAATGGAGACTAAAGAACATATTGTATGACATGACTCATTCTATACATTGATTTTAATTTAAGCTCATCCAATTCACAAAAAATCATTTATTGCAACAATTAAAAAAAACCTCAAAAATATCATACATTGGGAGACATTTTCATAAACTTTCTGATATAATCAAAGGTTAATGTAAATGATTAACATCTTAAACACAAAAGCTAAGCAAGATAGGTATATTAAAATACTCTTTTAATTTCGTACTTGTAGAAGAATGATTATTGTATGTAACTTACCACACCAAAGCTGTAGACATCAGATTTGGGTGTTATTTCTCCTCGTAAAGCTTCAGGTGCCATATAAGCTGTTGTGCCCACAATTCTGCTAGTCATGACTGTCTGGGCAAACTTCTCAGAGGCCCGTGCAAGTCCAAAATCTGATATTTTGGCAGTAAAGTCTTCATCTAGTAAGATATTTGCACTAAAAAAATGTAAAATGTGGAGAAAAAATGTTTTCTTCCCAAGGAAGTCAAATAGTTCCTTAGATATATGAAAGTATATATGCACACATATATATACACATATATTTACATTGTTTGCCATTTTATTGGATATATCATAAAAGCATGAAATTTGTGTAAATATATCTAGGATTCATATTACAGTCAAATAGAAAGAGGAAAAACATTTAGGAGAATAAAAATGAAATAGAAATTTCCATGCTAGTGAGAGAAATTTTCATAAATATTTCACAAATAATTAAAAAATTTTTAGTTATTGATGGATCTTTATTTTATTTATTTATATGTAGTTCTGAGAATTGAACCCAGTGCCTCACACATGCTAGACAAGGGCTCTATCACTGAGCCACAACCCAGCCCCATAAATAATTTTTTATATGAAATTTTAGTCAGCTTTTTGCTGCTGTGACTAAAAGACCTGAGAAGAACAATTTCAGAAGAGGAAACCATAACACAGGGTAACTTCCCAGTCTTCCAAAGTGCCATTTTTTTTCTTTGTGGTTATGGGGATTAAACCCATGGAACTTGCACATACCAGGCAAGTGATTGCCACTGAGCTATATTCCAGCCTTCAAAGCACCATTCTAACAAAATTTTAATTTTCTTATTGAGAAATAGTATTTGTGCATCTTTGTGGGATATATTAATTATTCAATATATACAATATATAATAATCAAATCAGGGTAATAAGCAGTCCTATCTCTTTAAACATTAATCATTTTTAAGTTTTGGGAATCTCATACTCTTCTAGTCATTTCAAAATGTATCACAGTGTTATTTTAACCTCTAGTTACCCTACTGTGCTATAGAAGAACCAGAAGTTATTCCTCCACTCTGTTTTTTGGTGCCCTATGAACTTCCTTCTCCCCTTCCCTTCCAAGTCTCTAGTGACAATTACTCTTTTCTGTTCTTCTATGAGATTGACTTATTAGTTTCCAAAAATGAGTGAAAATGTGGTATTTGTCTTTCTGTGTCTAGCTTTAAAATAAATTGAAAACACCATTCTTAATTCCTTTCCTAACAATACTCAATTCACTTAAAAACAAATTTCTAAAGTTATCTCAATTATTTATTACTCTGAACTATTTTTGTACCATCTGGAATCTTATAAAGGGTAAAATTATGTATAAAAGACATTAATGAATTCRTGACAAGCATCCATTTATATATTCATATTTTCATTCAATAAAACCTTATTGAAAAGACTTTGTTTTATAGTATTTAAACTTGGTGATGAATATGTGGTGAATCTTAGAACTTTATCTGTGGAAAAAGCATATGAAAAATTAAAAAAAAAACAGTATTACACTGGGCTAGGGCTATAGCTCAGTAGCAGAGCGCTTGCCTAGCATGTGTGAGGTACTGGGTTTGATCCTCAGCACCAAGTTAAAATAAACAAATAAAATAAAGGCATTCTGTCTATGTACAGCTACCACAAAATTTAAAAAACAGTATTACATGATGAGAATATCAGATACCAAATGCTGGAAAACCAATCATGTGCCAGGAATTACTGGGGAAATTCCAAAGAAAAGGTATAAATTATACTTTGTTTTGGAGGATTATTTGAAGTTGATGGTTATATGAAGAAAAGAAAGGCATGTCAGGGAWATGAACATATACGAAGTGATGAAAACACAACAGCATATGGTATACAGAATCAATTTAAAAACTAGTGTTCATGGAAGATGGAGTGAATTTGAACAGTATCTACAGTTTACATAGTATGGAACTGATAATTTCAGATTTATCTTTTAGAACCATAACCTGGAAGTATTGTAGTGAACAGGTGAGAACTGGTACAGACTTGTTTTACATTGACTAGGAAGGTTTGAAATAAAGCCAATAAAAGATAACAAAGATCTAAACAGAGGCAGAATAAATAGGAAGTGCACATTTTCAGGCACAGAAATTTGTGACAATAGGATATAGGGACTGAAAAGTGTTAAGTTTTGGAAATGAATAAATAGTGACTTCATTTGATTACAAAGGAAATACAGTTTTGGGAGCTATGGATGAATTATGGGTTTGTGTAAGCCACCTCAAAGCAGGGGCATTGCTCTTTTGAGATCTCTCATTTGCTCGTGATAGCAGGGGCGAAAAAATTCTGTCTTCCACAGAATTTACTGGTTCATACAGCTCTAGATTCAAACAGCTGCCTGGAGGTGAAAGAGACAGCAGTGTCCTCGAACTGAATTAAGGCACCAGGTGCCTGGAGGAGGAAGAAGTACTGCAAAAGTTGATATGCTACCAATTATGCTGTGTTCTCCTCAGCTTTACTTTGGTTTATCTTGTAGAAGTTTCTCTCATAATAAATCCCTTTGATGTGTTTGCATATAAAATAAAGCACATGGATCTCCCCTTTTTGTTAGAGATCAGACCCCACCAGGGCTGATTGACCCACTGAGCCCCACTATTAATCTACTAATTGAGTTTTTTGTCTTTATTTCTTATATTTCTTATTTTTAATCATCTCATCATCTCGAGTTTAGGTAAACTGAGTAAATGTCATGCAGGTCATGATAATACAAGAAAAAGATGTTTGGTTGAAGGGATGGTTTGATTTCTAAGATAGTGACTTACAGGCTCCAGTGGGATACTCAGGCAAGGAGTTTTAGTACAGGCACATTGAAAAATACAGTATTAGAAGCTGATGATATTGACTTGAGAGTCACCTAGGCTGCCCTTAAAGTAAACTGCCAGGCTGTCTTAAACTTGCAATCCTCCTACCTCAGCCTCCCCAGTAGCTGTGATTACAAGCATACACCACTGCACCCAGCTCCACTTCTTTATCTTAAAAGAACCTTAAACACAACATTTACAAAAGAGAATTTATATTTTCACTTTCCCCAACACCACTCCAACAGAGACCTCTTTCTATATAAGTGAATCATGCCACAATGATTCCAGAGTACAATTCCGGATGTCATAATTCCAAGAGTTATTCCTGATATTTTCCCCCCTTCACTGCCAAGATATCAGCAAAGCATGCCATCTTAATCTCTCCAATTTGCTCACTTCTCTYCAAATTAACTGCCATGACCAAGACTTGTATGGTAGCCTACTAACCACCCCTTCTTACAAAGTGTTCTCCATACCAGAGTCACAATGATCTTGTAAAACTTACATATTATGTCACTTCCTTACTATAATTTTAATAACAGCTAATTACATTTAAGATTTAATCACATATAAAACCTTACCTTGCTCTATCAGGCCCTATAGGTCTTAACTCCCTATCTATTTAATTTTATTTCAACTCCTGCATCCCTTCACTTTCTACATAACAGTCAAACTTTATTTCACCTCAACTCATTGAACTCCTATATTCCTTCCCACTACTGATCTTACAAACATGGTTCTTTCTGTTTGTTCTCTCCATCTTCTATAGCTGCCTTCAAACTGTTCTTGCTTATTTCCTACTCATTCTTTGGATGGAGATAATATATTTCACATATACATACTCATACACACTGAACCTATACTAAATACTATGATTCTATTATTATTTTGTGATTATTCAATTGATGTCAAGCTCTATATATGCCACTTTTGCTAAATTGCATCATCTACAGTACTTAGTATATAGCAGGTTAATATTGAACTAGAGAAATATRAATACATGTGATGGTTTAGATATGAAATATATCATGTGTTGCAGGCTTGGTCCCCAATAAAGAAACGTTTAGAGGTGGGGATTTTGGGATCCTCAGGAGTACTCTGACCTCATCAACTGACTGATCTATTGAGGGATTTGTAGATAAGGGCATTAMTGGGAGGTAGGACCTAGTTGGAAGAAGTAGGTTACTGGGGTATGCCTTGCAAGGGTATTTCTTCTGACTCCTTCCTTAGTCCCTCTCTCTGCTTTCTGCTGCCATAAGGTAAGCAGTTTTGTTCTGCCATGCCTCAGGCCCAAAGCAACAGAGCCAGCGGATCATGGCCTGAAACCTCTGAAACAGTAAGCCAAAATACATCTTTCCTTTTCTAGTTGTTCATGTTAAGTATTTTGTCACAATGATACAAAGCTGACATAATACTTAAGAAGAAAGAGAACTGAAAAAGTACTCACGGAGGATGAAGGTGATTCAGAAAAGAGTAATAATCCAGAAACTAACAAAGAAACTATTTTCCACAAGGCAAAAGAGTTCAAGAAGAACAGAATAACATAATGTCAACAAATAAAGGGAAAAAAGTCAAGTAGGATGAGTACTAGAAATAGGTCATTGGATTTGAAATAAAGCAGATTACAGATGTCCTCAGTGAGAAGAGCTTTCATGGACTTTTGGAGAATGTATCCAGTTGCTTCAGGTTAAGACATGCATGTGAATAGTGAATAAACACAGTGACAACAAATTAAAGACGGCTTTCCAAAAACTTTTCACAGCTGCATTTACCTTTTAATATCTCTATGAATATGATGGTTTTCATGTAAAAAACTGATTCCATTAGCTGCACCCTGAGTAATCCTGCATCTTGTGTGCCAAGAAAGTGGTGGAGTACCATCCTTATGAAGAAACAAACCAATTAAAAAAAGAAAAAAAAATCTATAGAAAATATGTAACTCAATATTTTTTCTAGGTAATAACTGAAAAATGCTATCACTAAGAATTTAGGTCTATAATTTTTTAAGTTATTAAAATATGTCTAAATAAGATCAAATGGAGGTTAGCATTTCTTATTTGAAGATAAAAATATATAAGAGCATTTCAACATCTAACCTTGACTAGTAATTTTAGGTGATCGCCTAACAGACTGGCAATCCTACTTGTTTACATATCAACTAGACAGCTTTTATAGAGCAAGAAAAATATTAAGATTAGTGTAATTTAAACGATCCTGTACAAAGTAAATATTAATATTCTAGCACAGAAACAGAAGCCAAATGATATGATGAACAAAATATCTTACCAAGCAACACAGTCTGTCTAGCAATGAACCGTTGGGCATGTAAACGTATACTAAGCAGAGATCATCGCCATCACTTGAGAAACCAAGTAGTTCTACCAAATTTTCATGTTGACACCTATGACAAAAAATTTTCCATGTAGATCATTATAATATCTATTTGTAAATATTCAATTTAGTGTTTCAACAGAAAAAAGATCAAGAAAATAGTATGTTATATATCAAATATATATCTATGTCAATTATATAACCATAATTTTCTGTAAATGGTTT